TATTCAATTTTCAAACCATACAATAACCAGTGTCAATACAAACGAAACCAACCCATCTCACATTCACATGGTTCAATATGGCCAACAAATTAAAACTATATATTCCAACATTGATGCCATACCCGCCTCTTCTCAGTTCATCTTTTACTCATCCCACTTGAGTCTGTCATGTCTCAATCCATACCTTATAATATGAAAGTAAAATAATATACTCCCTTAGTCACTTATTAATTGTCGATTTTTTATTTTTAGATTATCTCAAAATACTTGTCCGATTTAAAATGTTAAAGTAAAAAAAAAAAAAAAAAAAATTATCTTTTTAAAATTATTCTTTAAATTTTTACAAAACTCTTAATTTAATAATATTCCTATTTAAACTTCAAAGAACAATTTGATAATTTTATAAGAGGATTATGCATTAATTATATGTCCCTTGAAAGTTCTAAAACAAATTGGAGATGTAATATGCGAGACCGAGTACGTTATAGGAAAGATTTTCACATGAGAGCAAGTCTTGCATTGAGTTTGCTGGTTTTTTTTTTTTTTTTTAAAGAATTTCATATGATCTCACCAATAATTAATTTATGTACTTTAACATTAACTCTCCTAAGAAGCATTGATACAGATATGTCAGCACATCAAATTCTAAAAAAGTATAACACCAACAAATGAGACAATTATAAAACTTTAAAAAATTTATAAATTCTATACGAATGTTACATCATTTAAAAAATGATGCTATTCGAATATAAAAAAGAATACTTCCCCTATCTCATATTAATTGTCTATTTTAGGGAGTATAACTTTTCAAGAACATCTTCAACTATTGTGCATGTTTTTTTAATATAAATCTAAGGGTAAAGTACAGTCACACCCCCTGAGATTTGACAAAAGGAGACTAAGATGCAACTTACCTATTTTTCGGACAAAGACACCCCTTGAAAGTTCAAAAATGGATAAAGACACTCCTTTATATGAAAAATTGATCAAAATAACCCTTTGATCATTTAGGGGACTTTTTTTTAACTTTACGATTTAATAAATTGGACCAATCTACCCTCATGAATAATTTATGCATAAAAAATAAGATAAAAAAAAAAAAAACTTTATATTGTTCACCTTTTTTTTTTTTTTTAAATGTCCCAACTTCTTAAAAATGTAGACGTCTAAAATGATTATTTCAAATAAATTATATTTTATTATTACTTCTTCTTTTTTTCTTTTTCTTTTTTATTTTTAAATTACGATGCTTAATTCTTTCATATAAAAAAATTAAACCAATTTCTTTTTCTTAAAAATAAAAAATATGGTACCAGTATAACTTTATGCATCTTAAATTATATATCAAATATTACACATTTCTCAATATAAAAGAAAATGGGTAACAGTATAACTTTATGCATGCCTTTATTTTTTTTTCCCCCTTTGTTTTATTTTTTTTTTCCCTTTTATGTTGTGAAATGCATAATATTTGATATATAATTTAAGATGCATAAAATTATACCGGTACAATATTTTTTATTTTAAAGGAAAAGAGATTGGTTTAATTTTTTTAGATGAAAGAATTAAGCATCTTAATTTAAAAATAAAAAAGAAAAAGAAAAGAAGTAATAACAAAATATAATTTATTTGAAATATATGTATTGGATTAAAAATCATTTTAGACGTCTACATTTTTTAGAAATTGGGACATTTATAAAGTAAATAACAAAAAAAAAAAAAAAGAAGTTAAATTGTTCATGAGGGTAGATTGGTCCAATTTATTAAATTGCAAAGTTAAAAAAAAATCTCCTAAATGGTCAAAAGGTAAGTTGGTCAAATTCTCATGTAAAGGGGTACTTTTGTTCTTTTTTGTCCAAAAAATAAGTAAATTTCATCTGAGTGTCCTTTTGTCAAACCTCAGGGGGTGTGACTGTACTTTATCCTAAATCTAATGTGTTATAATAGATTTACACAAAAAATTTAGATTATTTATTTTTAGCTCCAGCGGTTGTTTTATACATTTTGTGTAAAAAAATTTGTCTTTTAATAACAACCAATCAATGTCATGCCTGGACCCCACATAATTTTTACAAATCTACTTAATATAGGGTAGATTCGTTAATGGAATGAGAAAGAGGAATGAGAAAAGAAATATGTTGATGCAGTTGTGTAAAATACACATTAATTTTATACATTTGTATATTTTAACAAACTACAGCACAAAAGAGTATTTTAACATATTGCTGGATATGCTTTAAAAAGACATTCAATTATTGCATTGTCATCTTTTGAAATTACCAAATTTAAGTTTAATATGTATTATTAAGTTAGAGAGATTTTTTAAAAAACTAAAAGGGTAATGATGGAAACATAATTTTAATTTGGTTTAAGAAAGGAAATGTAAGTAATTAATTTGGAACATCCTTAAAAAGAATAGTGCACTAATATGGAAGTGTTAGTATCTAATATCATATCATTATAATTATGTTTTTGTTTTTTAAAAATTGAATATTTTTCGGGCATTTGTTTGTTTATTTTATAGTTTTAAATAATGAACCCTTCCATAAATTATTGAACAATTGTCTAAAAATATCCATCTAGTGTTAAAGTTTAACATGATATCAGATATACACTACAAACACAATAACTCATATAAGTGTGAAGTGTCACATGAACTTCCTATGGTAAGGATGAGAATTTATCATGTAGGGGCGGGTATCAGTTTATAGCGATTTTTGGGAATCAGTTAATTTATTTAGACAGGAATAATTTTTAGACAATACTTAGATCTCACTGAGGATTTGGTAAATCCTCACCTCTTATGTGATTTAAAAAAAAAAAGAAAAAAAAAAGGTCATTTTTAATTAAACAGGTCAAAAAAATAAAAAAATAAAAAATAAATGGGATGGTGTCCAAATAAAAGCAGGTAAAGAGAGTACAATTTTAGATTTTATTTATTTATTTATTTTTTTAGAGTTCAACGTCTGTTGGTTTTGAACAGGTGTAAAAAAATTTAAAAGAAGGAGAAATTATAGAAGTAAATAGGAAGGGACGGATCCGTGCCGGATAAAAAAAATTAAACAGGAACAAAAACGAAGTAAAAAGATGAACAATTTTGAGCACCGCAGCATTTGTGCCATTGCTCTCTTATGGCATGCAACTTCCTCCTGGGCTTGTTAAAAGATTTTTTGAAAGATTTTGGCAAATACAATATTGCCTTATAGCTTATCCCCCCTCCTCTCTCTCTCTCTCTCTCTATATATATATATTTAATACAAATATTATTCTGCCTCTGTCCTCTGTGACACCTATCACATCTATCTTTCATAAAAGAGAAAGAGACACGTGACCAATAAAAATGCTACTCTAACCAAAGTCATTTGGCTAACTTCATCATTATATATCATAATTAAACTACAAATCTGTCAGGTAGTTGTCGTTGTTGATAGAATAGAATTTTCGCCAAACAGATGCTTTCTCAAACTCAAAATATAATATATGAATAAAAATAAAATATTTTAATAATTTTTATATTTTTTTTTTATATTTTGAGATTTTCAAATACATTCTTAAATATAGTAACTCGAAAAAAATGACCTCTTAAACTCAAAATATAACAATTAGATAAAAATAGGCACTTCAATAGACTCTCTCAAAAGACCTCTCATATTTAGAGATGGTCAAAAATTGTTAAAATGAAAATAAGGCACTCCAATGGGCTCTCAAAACATGAAATGATTGTTGTGTCAAAAAATAGTATTTTGAATGAAATGCACCATTGGAACAGAATTGTAAAAATATAGCATTTTGACACTGTAACTCCTCTCAAAATTTAGATTTGGTATAAAAATATAGCATTTTGCATTGAAGATGCTCTTAAATTCAATTTAGAATTAGTAAATTTTGGCCGATCCTAATTTTCTCAACTAAATTAATTCAATCGATTAATTTGTTAAATAAATATTAACATATTAGAAGAATTCAATTCCCCTTGACCCAATTTGACACATTTAACTATAATAAACACCAATATATTTAAAATCCTATAATTAATCTTATCAATTCATGATATTATTATAAAATTTAAATAAGTTAATTATGTAATTTATTAAGGCGAAATGAAAATTTTACTAGTATTTTTGAAGATTTTTATTTTATAATAAAATATATTAAAAATTATAATTTAATATCAGACCTGTTTATTCCGGATTTGAATTGACACGTAAATACCCTTTTATCGTCCATACGACAATAATAGCAAAGTGTGTCGTTTAAAAAAAAAATTAAAATCGTAGTATTCAACTCCAAATGACAAATTTACCCTTTAGAATATTTCTTCTCAGACATATCTGTCTCTCCAAACAAAATGTAAAATTTCTACCTGAAACTGTTTGTTACTCTCTCTCTCTATGTACCTCGTTTTTCGATGAATGGAAGATGTGAAGTTAACATCGCTTTGGATGCGTACACAGAGTTTTTGATTCCGGTTTTCTCGAATTGTTGTTATCGCTTTTGAGCCTCATCTACCGACTGTTGTTGGTTGAGAAGGGAACGAAAGGGGTGAGTTGTCTTCAGGGGCAGATTCGTCATTTCGTCTGTAATCTTCGGTTTATAGCATTTTGTGGTGTGGCAATAGCCCTCTTTGACAAAATACACTCTCTTTATCTCACACTAGGCCTTGTATAGCTCCTACTCGTCTTTACTCTCTTCCTGATCTTCTTGTTGGGTGTTGCAGTGCTTCTGTGGGCTGTTAGGTAAGCTTATTAGTTTCTCTCTCTCTCCTCTCCCTCTCTCTCTCCGTTGGTTTCTGGCGGATAATTCGGTGTGTCTTTAAAAAACAGTCTTTGAGCTCTTTTTCGCTTGGTGACTTATTTCTCCTGCTTTTTCCTTAATATATACACATATTTACAGTGACTTGGATGATGCTCTTGTTCTTATTGGTTATGGGTGTTTGATTTCTTGATCTGAGTCACTTGCTTCTTCATTTTGGTATTGGTTACTTGACCATTTTTTTTAAAATTGTTATTGGGTGTTGTTGAGGGAAAAAATCTCTTCTTGTAATGATTTTCTTGCAACTTTTGGTCATATTGGTATGTTTGATTTGACAAGGATGGATCATTTTTTTTTCCTCTTCTTTGTGAAACAATGATTTCTTGTCTGTTTTCTAGCAATAGAAACTTGGGTTTTGGTGTTTTTCATGTATTTCTTTTGTTTATGCTTCCCAACCTTGAGTCTTTTGATTAATTATTGTATAATATTTATTTTTTCCCCCCTTGTAGAAGCTTCAGTTCTCTGGTAGTTTGTTAAAAAAAGTTGGGATTTTGAAGAGTGAAAGTGGATAAGGTTTTGCATTTCCCCTCTTTTTTTCTCTCTTCACACTTCCTTTCTGTTCCCTAGAATGCTTGGTTTGTTTGGTTTCTGTTTCTTTGTTTGATCTTTGGTTTCTGCATTCACATGTGTCTCTTTTATGAGATCTATGTATGTATGTATAGAAATGTATAATATTTATATTAATTTGATGAATAAGTGTTTATGCCCCGAATTTTTCGGGTTGTTTGTGGTTGGATTGTTGATCTAATGCTGTTATGATGAAATGGGACTAACTCTGGAACTGGTGTTTGCATTTTGAATTGGTTATGAAGGTTTAGATGGAAGCAGAGGGTGCTGATTTTCGGCGGTGGGACGAGCTAATACCGGATGCATTGGGGCTAATCTTTAGCAATCTCTCCCTCCAGGAGATGCTAACGGTGGTCCCCTTGGTATGCAAATCATGGAGGAAAGCAGTGATGGGGCCTTATTGCTGGCAAGAAATTGACATTGAGGAATGGAGCAATCGATCTAAGCCCGACAACATTGAGCGAATGCTTCGAATGCTCATCACAAGAAGCTCTGGTTCGCTGCGCAAGCTCTGCGTTTCCGGCCTCCCCAACGATCTCATTTTCTCCTTCGTTGCAGAGCAGTAAGCAAAATTGCATTATTTCATGACACAGCCATTTTCATTTCATAATGTTATTGGTATAAGCAAAGTTACTTGCACAGCTCACTAGTTCAGGCTCTAGTTTGTGACATTCAATTATTCCAAGTTTTGAGTTCTTTTTTATATGCCTGCAAATTTCACTGGCTTTGACAGGAATCAGATGAACATGTTAACCCAATTTTGGTGCTTATTTTTGGTATGATAGTCAATTCACTGGTTGAGCTAGAAATCGGATGAAACCATTAGTCCGAGTTTGATTGTCATGTGGTATGGTCAGATGATTTTTTGGTTTACACAGGGTCTGGCCTAACCATTTAGTTCAATTGTAATGCTATTCGGTTTACTTGTAACCATTTGTAATGCTCTTTTGGTTCAGTCGCATATCATTTTTTGATACTGAATTGAGATTGATCCGTTATCGTAGCCCATATTGATATGATCTTGTTACCTAATGGGTTTTGCTAGTGCTGGTGCGCTCCAGAACTTGAGACTGCTGAGGAGCGACATGAGTGATTTAATCGTTGAACAGGTTTCCGGGAGGCTTTCCACAATCACTTTCTTAGATTTGAGCTATTGTTGTAAGATTGGCGCTCGTGCTCTAGAGGCCATTGGGAAGCACTGTAAACTGCTAGCAGTACTGCGCCGTAACATGCACCCATTAGACATGGAAGGCATGCTCTCACAGGAGGACGAGGCCTATGCCATTGCCAGAACAATGCCAAAGCTCAAGCAACTTGAGATGGCTTACCTTCTTATCGATACTGAGTGCGTTCTTGAGATTATCTCCAGCTGCCCCAAGCTCGAGTTTTTGGATTTGAGAGGATGCTGGAGCGTGAAGCTTGACGAGAAGTATGTCAAGGACAAGTTCCCGAAATTGAAGGTGTTGGGGCCTCATGTCGTGGACCATTACGAGCAGAATGATTGGGAAGAAGATTGCTCGGATGAGTCTTACGCAGACTCATTCTATGACTACGAGAGCTTTGATGGTATGTGGGATGATGATGAGGAAAGGCTGGAGCTGAGGTTTTATGAAGGATTTGATGAGGACAATGGTTATGGTTGGCCACCATCCCCTTAAAGTTTTAAGCCTTGTGACATTGTATTGCTCACTCTATTGCTAGTAGTACTTGCATGCTGCTTTTACTTTGGGACTTTGCAGTGCTTTATGGTTGTACATGTTTGAATGGGAATGAAGCTGTGTTGTTTTATTTTACCCTCCTTATGAGCTGTGTCCGCGTTGAAGAAAATCCTCTCCCGTGAATAGTACATCTTGTTCCATCCGGTTTGGGATGTACTTTACAAAAAGTTTGGGATACTTGCTAAACGTCTCGAATTTTTTGTAATGTGTAACCCGAACTAGACGAAACAAGACTTACTATTCCATTGGAGGTCCGTGTCTGTGTATCTATTATTGTAAGAATGCAAATCTTACAAGAATGCCATCTACTAGAATTTAGCTCTGGTGCCAAGTATAGATTAAACTCATTAGCCTAAACCTAGTTGTGTTCAAAGCAAAAGTGCAAAATTTTGAAGTTGCATACTTTAAATAGAAATATGAAATAAGAAAACATGACTATTGCGGAGTCAGGAGACACAGGTTTTGAATGGCTGGTTAGCTTTGCAGGCCATATGTTAAATTTGATACCAATGCAAGTGCCCTGACAATGTTGCTCGCATTAAACTAAAAGGGTCAGTTGGGCATGCAAGTGGGGGGGGGGGGGGGGGGGGGTTGGGGGGTTGGGTGTTTATTTCATGTAGGCACAATGCTCCTGGGAATGTCTCTTGGGAGACGTTTGTTTGTTCCATTCTTGTTTTTTTTTTTTTTTTTTCCTTTGTTAATTACTACATTAAAAAAAGACCTTGTTTATGGGCTCATTTGATAATTTTATAGACTAGCTAGATAGAATTCACATGATTACATGTGATTCGTGTCTTTGGATCTTGTACTTTTACAAGCCCAAAGACTATTGAGATTTGTGTTTGACCATTTAATTGGAGGGTTTAGAAAATTTCCCCTCAAATTATGTGCTGCACGTGGTGGACAAAGATAAATTAAAAGAGAGACGATCTTTTCTGTTACCAAATCACTATTAGCGTGGTTGAAAGAGAGATATATATATGTATATATATATATATATATATATATTTTTTTTTTTTCTGCTACCAAATCAGTATTAGCATGGTTAAAAGATATTTATATATATATATATATATAAAAGGTAAGAAGTGTTAGCCGTTGAATTAGTAAGTGCAGATGGCACTCTAAATATAATTATAAAAAATAATATATAATTTAATTTTCTCTTTTTGAATAAAGAACATGAATACAGGTATATTCGTGAACTTGAATACAGATACACCTATTCATAAAATTAGACATTATACTAACTGGTATCTCACATGAAATTCAAATTCAAAACCCCCTACTTACATGCATATTCACACACTATGCAACAAAGAAAAATTATCCAGTTGCCACCGACATGAAAATTGACAACTCACAGAAATAAATTCAATGAATGGTATGATATATAATTGACCCTTCCTCGCAGATGGTTACAGTTTCAAAGTTACAAAAGCTATGTGGTTGTGCCTATAGTTTTCAATCTTGGCAATGTGTTAGCTTCACCAATGTTGTTCCAAAAGAGCCAAAAGGTTGAATATGAAGAAGTTTTGGCTTTGAAGTAAACCTTAACAGCCGCTTGACATTTTGTTAATTATGTGTCAATGTTTTTTCATAGTAAAATCTCTGCAATTCCGTAGACCCAAGACACGTTTTTAGGTTAAATACATTTTTATTTATTTATTTATTTATTTATTATTATTTTTTTTTTAATGTTTGGGAATACCAAATTGATCCCTCCAACTTTAAATGTAAATGATCAATTCAATGCTTCCAAACATAATAACGAATTTTAATCCTTTACACACTGAATAAAAAAATACGTGAGGTTTAAAGAGTTAACACGTGGAGAGAATGCTATTATTGAAATTTAATAACAAATCTAATCAACAATGCTATCACTGAAATTTAATAACAAATCATATAAAACTATACTTGATTGGAGTGTTACTAAAATATTACTAATAAACAAAATTGTTATTCTCTTTTTTAAAAGTAATAGTAATAAGAATAATCATGTGGAATCCTCCTAATTTTTTAAGTGGTGGGATCCCATATATTTTTATTTGCATTGTTATGGACTATTAATTATTTATATGCATCCCTTATCCACATAAGAATATTTTAGTGACGTGGATTTTCTGAGTCTCTCTGAAAATCTGGGATATTTCACAGTGCTTCGTGGCATCCAAGAATGGTGTCCAAAAAGAAGCTCAGCAATCAGGCTGTGGTCCCCACCATCTATATATATACTTTTCCTTATGTGTTTCATCATTTTCTCCATCCCGGTCCAAGGAGTCTTCATGCTCCAAAATATTTCTGTAATAGATTACAAATTAAGATTAAATGAAAAATAAACTTTTAAAAAGAAGTTGATCAGAAGTATAAATCTATATAATATACATTTAAAATTATAAATTATATCAATGGTTAATTCGGATTTGGGTTGGGCTCATGTCGTTGACACCTCAACATGGGTCCAGTGCAATTTGGGTTAGATTTTTTTTTAATAAAAACAATACCTTAATTATAAAAGTGGTTGTCTAAACTTATAAAAATCGTATTGAGGTTGGTCTGGGTTTGAGTTAGTCCATCCAAGTTGCATCTCTCGGCCTAAATCCAACCCGCAATTGTAAGAATAGAAAATATTAGACAAAGATTATTGCTAGTAGCATTTGCATGATTGTCACATCTTAATTCTCGAATGATGAGAATATATTTGTGTTACATTCAATGTAATAAGTTGAGATATTGTGCCAACATCAAAATAACATTGTCTTGATTCACTGTTGGAAAATATTGTACCTCTCCTTGTACATGAGAGGATCTTGATTTATAAATTGAGATAGAAAATACATAAATGTTAAAATATAGACAAATTATCTAAAATTTAAAGATATTCAAATTAAATTGGGGTTTTGAGAAAATTAATATATAAAAATATTAGAACATCAACTAATATAATCTAGTAGCATCTCCTTTGCCTCCCACAGCGAGAGGTAAGGGTTCAATATCATGCAGTAACAAATGCGTATTTGAAATTATTATATTAATAATAAATAATCATGCAAAATTCATTTTTTTGTTTTGTTTTTGTAGGTGATGTAAGCTATTGGGCTGTTGATCTCAGTAAATTTTGGGTTGGATCCAAATTTGATGTGTTTCGCTTTATAGACTCAAATGATCCTAGAAGGCTAGAACTACAAAATTACTGTAAAAAATAGTTGATTCGACTCTTCAACTTGGGCCCAATGGGATAGTTAGACACAAACCTACACAGCTACTCTAGGTCGAACCACCGGTCATCGACAGGTAAGCAAGCTAAAAGCAGTAGCCCAAAAGCTGGGCTGAGCTAATTAACACATCCCACACCTGCAAAATTCTTTTATTTGAAAAAATGAACTATTTGCTGGAAAAACACACACACACACACACACACACAGTTGTAGTTAAATTTTGGGTAAAAAAACAGAAGAAGGGTAAAGTGCAAAAATTCCCCCTAAACTATGTCTAAATTTTCAAATAACCCCCCTGAATTATTTTTTGTGCATAAAACCTCATAAACTATCACATTTAATCGTAAAATACCACATTGCCTTAAGTATTTTTTATTAAATGATCCTGATACCCTTTCTTAGCTGCACTCTTACATAAATTAACAGCACAAATTATAGCATATCCATATTACCATTTTTCCTCTTCGAATTTTTTATTTATTAAATTTTTTTTTTTGAAGGAGTGAAAGTTATGAACATGAATGAATTAACAATAAATAATTTTAAATTCATAAAGTATAGACATGATTTATATAAGTGTTAAGTGCAAAAAAACCTTCGCTATATAAAAAATGTGCAAAAAACACCTCCATTAGAAAAAGGAAAAAGAAAAAAGAAAAAGAAGTGCATATAACTTTCTGTATTATCTATCTTTTGAGCAAATTGCCCCTTGTTGAATAAATATGTTGAAAAACAGTGTTTGTGATGTCACTTGTTTTTTAAAAATCCAAAAGTACCCATTTTGTGTAACAAGAGTGTCCCTACCAATTTTGTATATATTTGAACAGTTAATGAGTTTGTTTGGATGTGCTTGAAGACCTATTCATAAAAATCTTTCTCTAATATATATATTTTTTTCTCTCTGTCTTAAATATTTATATGTTGTCGTTTAGCAATCTGTTATCAAGAATACATCATTTTTATTTATTTTTTTTATTTTTTGTGATACTATATTTAATTTAGTTTATCAAGTGAGATTCCGTACATCATTTTAAAATTTTTTAGAATATTATTTATTTCAACATATATATAAAGAGAGAGAGAGACATAATCTTTCTAACAAATATTCTTTCTAATTCTATAAAATCTATATATTTTACTTTCATTCCTAGAACTCTCTTTCTATAAGAAATTATAATATATCTCTCTATAAAATTTCTCTATGTAGTTGATAGTATTTATCTCTAATTTTTTTTTTTCTCTCTAAAATGAGCACCCGTAATTAGCAAGCGGCCCAAGAAATTTCATAGTATCAGCTGATAGCACAACTTTCATTTGTGTAGAGTGTTTATAAATAGTTGGATTTATTTATGACTATGAAATAAAAAATAAGTTTGATGGGTGCGTGAATAAAGTATACATATATATATATATATGTATGAAAGATTGTGTGATGGGTGTTTGAATAAAGTATACATATATACACGAAAAGATTCTGTGTGTGTGTGTGTATATATATATATATATATAATTATATAAAGTATTATTAAGTTATGGAAGACGGAGAAGGAAAACCATATATGAATTTAAGGATAATTTTGATATTTTGTTTTTTGTTTTATTTTTGTTAATGATAAAGTAATGTTAATTTAGTAATTTTATTGTCAAAATTATGATTTGTGCACAAATTGAAAAACTTAGGGGAATTTTTTAAATAATAAAAAGGTAATTGCACATTTTATATATCATGAGAGAATTTTCTACACTTAACCCTAGAGAAACCTAACATTATAAGAAAATCAATCAGAAACTAAAACATATGCATGATGAAACTAAAAAGATAAGAAAAGCTTAAAATAAGTCAAAATTACTAAATACCTAATCATTAAAAATTACCAAATGATGAATTAATATATTTATTTTTTTGGATAAATAAAAAAATATTATTAAAAGACGATCAAGAGGGGAGCGAAACCCAAGAAAATACAAAAAAGCACAAATGAATTAATATATTTATTAAATCCTTGAACCCGCAACTCTCGCCAACTGGATAAAGAAAAATTCAAACTCGTTAAATCATGAACAAAAATTCTGAAATATCTTCTACAATTTTCTTATGCGACTAAAAAAAAACAAAGGAGGCCATTTTAAGATGCAATTATGTCCGAAAACAACATATTCGACAAGTACTATTTTTTACCTTTCGCTATATATATATATATAATATAATATAAACCCACAAATATAGAGAGAGACGCACACACTAACGGTACACACGGCGTATTCCGAGTGCACGCGGTATAACCGCGCCTAAGAAACGAAGAAAGATAAAGCACGGCCGCGGTGGCGTAATTTCTACTTCTTTGCAAGAAAACTCGCCTCTCTCTCTTCTCTATTCTCTCTCTAGAAAAGAAAGAGAAAACCGGACAGACTGCTGAATTAGATTGTGAATTGTTATCGATTTATTCTCACATTAGGATCCATACATGGAGGTGGACGAGGGTTGTAATGATGCCCTACCAGTGCCCCAAGATCGAAGACCTGACGCTCTCGGAGACTTCGTCGTTCTTCCAGATGAAATCATATGTGCTATTTTGTTCTATCTCTCTCCTTCAGATGTCGCTCGTCTTTCTTGCGTTAGCAGGTTATACTTCATACTTCTCTATTCTTTCTTTTATATCTCAATCCTATTTCTCACACAAACACAAACACACATATATACATATATATATATCAATTTCACCATCTTCTTCGGATCTCAATTTATACATTTCCCCTTAATTGCTGCGAGATAGCTAGTTTGTTTTGAGAAGAATATGATTTTGAATTATTTCTAGCTGATATTGTCTCTGCGTAGATAAGACTGTCATTAACAATTGTTTGAGCCCAGTAAAAATAAAATTAGCAGCACACATGTCTAATTATTTGCACTCCAAGAAAGGTCATAATTCAACAAGTGCACACACATGTATGTGTGAATATATTACTAAAATGCAGATGAATAAGGTTTAGACCCAATAATTTGTTGTCTTGTGATTTGTTAACAAACTTTTTTCCATTTTGCTAGAGATGTTTGTTAAGCAGATTGGGGGCACGTAAAATGGAAGTGGGGATGAGAATTTTGGCTATAAGATTTTTCGTGGAGGGGGTGTGTGAGTATCAACTAGGAAAAAAAAAAAAAAAAATATTTTTGGCTATAGGATTCCATTTTGAATGATAAATTGTTTGACTAAGCAAGCTATGGGTAGGATCAGGAAATGATAACTTTTTGAACTTATTAATTGGATAAATCTGCATTGTTGCCATGATTGAATCTAATGACTATCATGTGAAAATATGTGCCCTAGCCGTAGTGGATAGTGAGCTGTTTTCGGGTTGGCATTGAGTAATTAGTCGTTGTAATGAGCAAATAGATTGCCATCGATGTATCATATGAAAATATGCACTGGACCTAGCTGAATGAAAAGCTTTTTGCTAGTTGGCATTGTTAAGTTATTGTTTGTTTTCCTTTGGAGCATGTGATAGAGAAGTAGACTAAAGAAAGAAGTGGACAGGATCACAATTTTCAGGGAGGATTGCAATTTTTTGGTGTTTATTGTAGTCGTAGTGAGGAAAAGAAAAAAGAAACCTGTGGAAGTGGGGCTAATATGATCAAGGCCAACAAGTTGAGACAGAAAAAGCCTTGGAAGATTCGAAAAAAAGAAAAAGAAAAAATTAAACTGAGTAAAAAGTCAATCAAATATTTAGCCATTGCCTTAAAAGGTATGGGTGTTCTGCAATTGGTGAAAATATGTGAAGGGAAGTTGATGAGAAATTGAGCTGAAAAGAATGTTTACTTCTTCAAAGGAGCTGCGTCCATGTTGGACATGAACTTGGCACCCTTGATCGTTTATTTCATACATCTTGGATGTTGGCTTGAAATAGCATCTTCGATGCTCCCTTAAACATCATCACAAACTTTGGATGTTTAGACACACACACACACACACACACACACACACACATTTATTTTAAAGTAAAAACTGCCATTATTGTTGTTTCCAACAATTGGAGGTGTTGAAAGGTGTGGACAAAGGTACCTATTCTGTAACTTTAGTTGCACAAAATTGTTATCATCAGTTTCAATCTATGTTGTTTGATAGGGCAAGTTCCTTCTTTTCCCCAATTAATGGTCCTTGTATGACTATATATAAGCATAGGAAATAAGTACAACTGTAAGGGATTTACCAAAAAATAATTCTGAAGACTTTTGTAACACTTACAAGAAGTTCATTATATTCAGGAGCAAACGTAAGGCTGTGAAGGTTTTATCAAAGAGATGGTGCAAGAAGTGGGGAGGAGTCATATTGTTGCGACTTTACAACTACATATAGATAGATAAGCATAAATATAATTCATATGTATCAATACATTTGTATTTATGTGCTTTGTCTTGTTCCATTTTATAAGAATTCTTTATGCTAATACATCACTATCGTGCTGTATCCTTTTGAAATGAACAAAATTTGGAAACCTGGGAAACACAGAAGAAGATTAGGGGTAGGCTGTAGTATTGTTAAAAAATTATTAAGAAATTAATTAAGTAATGACTAATGTGGTGGCCATAAGACCAATGGGGTCAGAAGGTGGAGAAGAGAGAACACCTGAATGACTGAATTGCTTTTCAACGAGGCTGATTTTCTGCCATCATGTGAAATTTAGGATGATGAAATAACTGTTACTGTTATTGTTGAATGTTTTATATACGTGTATGAAACCTTGCAGCGAGTTTTCTTGCTCAAGAATGAAAATTCTTTGGTTAAGAATGAAAAAGAATATGCATGCACATTACTGTAGGATATCAGTTTAAAAGTTGTTGCAGTAGCCTCACTCATTTACTGATGGATCCTACATGTCTACAATTGTTAAATAATTGTGTCATTTTAAGTCATTCTTTTGTGGAAGTTGCTGATGAACTGAAGTTGCTGATGAACTCTTTACCACTCATAATTTAGACAACTAGAGAATTATTTTCTTAGTACCATAATAGTGAACTTATTTTAACTCTCCCTTGGTTCCCAATGAAGCATTTTTATACATGTGGAATCACAATTTAACATTATACTCGTATATATTTATGTGACATATGCCCCTTAATGCAATTTCATAGAAAAATGCATTTGTATTGCAATCCTTCATTTACAATTTTACGTTATAAGTAAGTTTATAGTAGTTGGATTTAACTGGCCCTATTCACATTGTCTGCCACCACTATTTTAGTGAAAGTTGAAGAAATGTCTGCTTCTTGTTCTTCCTTCTTTTTATTTCCTGTTTTTCATTTTCATTTTGTATGATTTTGTTTCTGTTAAATATGCAGTGTGATGTACATACTATGCAATGAAGAACCACTGTGGATGAGTCTATGTCTTAACAATGTAAGTGGTCCGCTTCAGTACAAAGGCTCCTGGAAGAAAACAGCAGTGCATCAGTATGTTTAGGATTTGGCTTTCAAATTTTCATACTTTTATTTACTGTTTGGATTTGGAAAAATGTTGTTTGTGTGTTATTCTTCATCATTTTTTCCTAGGGGTTCTGACAAGCTTTTCTTCCCCACCTCCACTCCTTATGCTTATTTCAGGCTGCATTTGCCAAACGAATATGTGGAACCCCACAGAAAACCACTGCAGTTCGACGGTAACAAATATCGTCCTAAGGGTTTTTTGCTGCTTTTTAACTATAATTGCTATTTTTGGTAATGTTGATGGTATATTAATCGTCTGCAGGTTTCCAGTCTTTATTCTTGTATAGGAGATTCTACCGTTGCTATGTCTCGTTACATGGATTCTACGTTGATAATGGAAATGTGGAAAGAAAGAAGGACCTCTCCTTAGAAGACTTTGATCGTGTGTATGATGGGCAAAAACCGGTATAAAACTCAAATGAAAGAAAGTGGGATAGTGGAAATAACATTTTCACTGTCGGTTTTTTTTTTTTGATAGATAAAACAACATTTCCTCAGATGAAACAATGGGTCAATATATATATATATATATATTTTGTCTTTAGCTATATTAATCCATCAATTTTTTGGGTCCCTTTTTTCCCCACTGATATTATATGACATTTATTTTTATATTTATCTACGCATTGGTTTCATACATTTTCTTCTTTTTTTTTTTGTCACTGGTTGTGCACATGTTTTCTGTTTTTTTAACAATGTTATCATAGCAATACTATCTATAAAAAAAAATTGAAAGCAAAAATAGAACACCTATTCATATAACTGTTGTCATAGTAGATTTTTATTATGATCAACCCTTAATAAATGTTCTTTCATGAGCTTAATTATTCATAATCACCTTATGGTTTACTTTGTTCACATATGTTATTGCTCTCTGCACCAGGTTTTGCTTTCTGGGTTGGCCGAAACGTGGCCAGCAAGGCATAAATGGGGAATTGACCAATTATTGCTGAACTACGGTGACACGGCATTTAGGATTTCTCAAAGGAGTTCTAGGAAAATTACTATGAAATTCAGGGATTATGTCTCGTACATGCAAACTCAACATGATGAGGATCCTCTCTATATTTTTGATGAAAAGGTACCTTGCCTGCACTTGTTTTTGTGTAATGTTGTATATATTTATTTTGAACTGCTCTAACTTATTTGCATATAGTTTGGGGAAGTTACGCCGGGCTTGCTGGAGGAGTATAGTGTGCCTCATCTATTCCAAGAAGACCTTTTTGATGTTTTAGATCACCGACCCCCTTTTAGGTGGCTCATTATTGGGCCAGAGAGGTCTGGTGCATCTTGGCATGTTGATCCAGCTCTTACGAGTGCCTGGAATACTCTTCTGTGCGGCCGTAAAAGGTAAATCTAATACTGATCTGCCTGAAGAAAAATCTGTCCCATGCGTTGGTCCTACCATAGTGAATGAACCACTTTAATATATACACACACTATTTCATGCATATAAAACCTGTTACTACTTAAGCTTGTTTGTGGTTAGTGAGGCTCTGCAAATTTTAGATCATCTCACCATGTTTACTCCTCGTAAGTCCGAGTTCCCAAAACATGATGTTTCATGCATCAAATTCGCCCCTTGTCCTGTGAAGAATATAAAATTGAAACATTTGATAAGCCAGGTCAATTTTTATGCTCCTCCAAAGAGCCTGATCTTTGAGCATTTTTTTTCCTCTTCGGAAATTAGATCTTTGAGCAATGTTAATTACTCAAACATATTCAGTTTTTCCAGATAATCTTTCAGGGAAACAAAAATTTCATGGAGATTATGTCTGTGTGTCCTTTTTATTGTTATTATTATTATTTTCTTAAATAACTGAATTTTCCTTTCGTTAATAAAATCATGAGGCTCCAATATGTTCACGTGTTTACCTTCATGGAATAAAATTTTTTGGAACCAAGGAAATTGAGAAATGAATAGTTTGGACCAAGACTGTGACTATAAGAGAAAAAGGAAAAGCTTGCAACATTTCTGCATATTGGACAATGTTGTGTTTTCCAACTGACTCGTCCCATCCTGAGCTCAAGAACTTAGACTGAGTGTCTCATATTAGCATTTAGGTTGGGTTGGGCTTGGGGATGGTGCAACTAATAGGCTTATAACAACTCAATCCAATCAGTCCATGTTTTTGTCTTAATTTGTTAATCATACCATATGTAAGCAGAATTGCAGTGGTAACATTACCTCTTACAATGTCACCGGAGAAAACGAAAAATTATTCTTGTACCATTCTTACCCAAAAAGAGGAGTAAAATTATAAACTTGAACTTCTACATCTTTTGAATATTTATTTAATAACATTTCCAACTTTACTTATCAAAAAGAATATAATATTAATAACATTTCCAACTTAACACGTCATTACTGAACACATCGATTTGTAGACCTGGTGGTGCTTACATATGATGTATCTTGTCTCTCTTTACAATTTCTTCAAAAACGTGGCGGACCAATACGGCAAGCTGACTTTTTCCATTACTTCTTTTATTATTTATGATATAATGAGAAAGAAAGAAAGGGAGAGAAATTGGACTTCAAGTCTTTCCATGTCTATAGATGTGGAATAGAGTTAGAGAATGATAAGAAAGGGAAGACAAGGGGAAGAGAGAGAGAACTCAAGGCTCTTCCAAATATTCACCATCATTGATCTTTTTCCAGAAGTCTTATCACATTTTTCTGCCCAAGAGGACTCTTTATAGACTTTATAAAACCCTAAGAGAACATAAACTACCTTCTAAAGAGAACATAGAAACAAATAAGACTCCCAAATTTTATGTCTAAAACCCTATACTTTATGAAAATGAAATAATGTCAATATTCTTAAAGCAAAAACTCCTTATAAGGTCTAATAACTAAAATATATGAGATGCCATGTCATCTTCTTGCAGATGTCATGCTTAATAATACTTTACAGGTGTACTGAAATATAAACAGTCGAAGGCCTATAAGGGGGCATCATGTATTTTCTGCAAGTTATGTTTTTTCTCTATATTATTGACTGCTTGGATTTTTCCCATTTTGTTATTGCTTCACATAGCTAACATTGAAAAAGGCAATGCCTCAATCATGTTTGAATAGGTGGGCTTTGTATCCTCCAGGAAGAGTACCCTTAGGTGTGACTGTACATGTAAATGACGAAGATGGTGATGTCAATGTTGAGACTCCATCATCATTGCAGGTACTCTGCTGTAGTTGTGTAAAATTGCATCTAACCATCATAGTTTCTTGTGAATTTTGTATTACTTTAGTGCATTTTGTTCAAGTTACATTATATCGTACCCTTTTGTTCACAGTGGTGGCTAGATTTTTATCCTCTTCTTGCTGATGAAGACAAACCAATAGAATGTACTCAATTGCCCGGTGAGACAATTTTTGTTCCAAGTGGATGGTGGCACTGCGTGTTAAATCTGGAAACCACTGTAGCTGTTACACAGAATTTTGTAAATTCAAAAAACTTTGAATTTGTATGTCTGGACATGGCTCCTGGTTTTCTACATAAAGGAGTTTGCCGAGCTGGACTGCTTGCCTTTGATGAAGGCAGCTTTGAAGATGCTGAAAAGAATACTTTGTATGCCGATGATAATTTGACGTCCCACTCAGACCATACTAGGAAAGAAAAGAGGGTCAGAGTTTGCAAATCTGTAGAGGATACAAATTATGAAACTGATACAAACAGTGCTTCTAAAAGTTACGAGTTGCCTAATCAAAAATTTTCTTATGATATAAATTATTTGGCCAAGTTTTTGGATGAAGAGAGGGATCACTACAGTTCCTTATGGAGCTCAGGCAACTGCATAGGACAACGAGAACTGAGGGAATGGTTATGGAAGCTTTGGGTTGGAAAACCAGGACTGAGAGACCTTATATGGAAGGTACAAGTTTTTCTTCTTGCCGCTTCTTTGTGCTTGTAACTCTTCAAATCGATGGTGTCTTTAAATCTTACGCAAGCAAAATTTAATTGCTAAGGCAGTTAAAAGGTCCATTTTTTTTTTATTTCATGGGTGATGTGAGCTCCACTTGTCCATTTATTACCTCAAAGGTCACCTTGGCCAAGCAGTCTCTCTCTCTCTCTCTCTCTCTCTCTCCTGTGTGAGCCCCCCCCACCCCACCCCCACCCTAAGAGTGGCATCACTGGTCCTACTTACTCCCTCCGTCCCAAAAAGTGTTTCTTTTGGGGAATCGCGACTCTTCAATTTGTGAGAGTCACGGTTCCCCAAAAGAAACACTCTTTTTGGGACAGAGGGAGTATTTTATTTTATTTTTTTTACTAAAGACTGAACAGTTGAGTGGCCTTACATCCAGCCAGCAACCCATACACCTTGGCATCTGCCCTGCCCACGCATGAGAACATGACTATTTATGTACTATGGATGGGCACTGTTCGTAAGACATCCTCATTGTTTAAGTTATATTAGGAAAGGTGAAGGGCTAAAGGTATCTTTCACATCTAACTATCTAATGTTCTGTAATGGTCTAGGGAGCATCTCTTGCATTGAACTGTGGCAAATGGTCCGAGTGCATGGGAAAAATTTGCGACTTCCATAAGTTGCCTTTCCCCACAGATGACGAGAAGTTTCCTGTTGGCATGGGTAGCAATCCTGTAAGTGAGTTTTTCTGTTATGAGTTCTGATTTTTTGAAGATAAACTTAACTGGCATATCTGTTTCATTGCGAAACCTACAGCTTTTTCTCTTTACTTGTTTGCAATACATAAATGCTTAATATTCTGGGAGTTTTCATCTGTTGATTCAGAAACTTTTAGAACTTTAGTAACAAAAGATTTTGAGTCAGTCAAATTGGTTTGTAAAAGGAAAGCCTAAAAGGTTGGAGATCTATGATGAAACGATTTATAATTCCATTTTCAATTGGGGGAGAATTACAAGATGACATTTTTTACCTTGGGAGATATGTATGGTTAATGGAATTGAATGTCCTGGAGTTACCAAGAAAACAAGGCCACTATTTTAGTTTAGCTGTTCCATAGAAAAGCATAACTAATGAAATTAAAGTATGATACTTAGGCTGTTCTTTTGTTTTGTGGGCCGCGTTCCCTGTTTGAATGCTTTCTAATACAATCGTACTTATCAAAAAGAAAAAAAGAACAAAGGATGATATTTGAGAGAAACAAGTATTTCTGTTCCTGGAAAATTATAGTATCAGTTCTAACCTTTTGTAACTTGTTCTATTATTTGCTAACAGGTTTACCTTGTTGATGACCATGTAATTAAAATCTATGTTGAAGGAGGGCTGGAAGCTTGTCTTCATTCTTTAGGCACTGAGGTATAAACTTCTTTTTCTGGATTCTTGTCTCTTAGAGTAGTGGTTTTGGTACCTGCCCACATCTCATAAATTTAAAATGTATATGTATCTTTACAGCTTGAGTTTTACAGTCTACTGTGCCAAGTTAACTCCCCTCTGAAAAATCATGTTCCTGGTATTTTAGCAAGTGGGATTATCTTTTTTGAAAATGGGTCATATACAATTGTTCCTTGGGATGGCAGAGGAGTTCCTGATGTGATTGCTAACTGTAAGATGATTCCAAAAATTTGTATGGAAGTTGATTTTCCATTTGGTGCTTGGAGCAAAAAGCAGTTTGAATACAGAAATGCTGGAATGTCAATAAATGAATCAGTTAGTTCCACTGGATGCTCAAGGATGTGGCCGTATATTGTAACAAAAAGATGCAAGGGGAAAATATTTGCTGAGCTGTAAGTTACTTTTCTCATAGTGTAGCCTTCTTGATACCTTGAAAGTAGTGTGCATGCAGTTCTGTAATCGTCCTTGACTTTGCTTATGTCCTATTTGCAGAAGGGATACCTTGTCTTGGGAAGATATGCTAAATTTGGCTTCCTTTTTGGGAGATCAGCTCCGTACCCTTCATCTTTTGCCAGTCCCATCTTTGGATGATTCTACGTTTTCCGTTATTAAACAGAAAATGGAATTGTTCGGTAATGATGAGGTTATGGAGGCTGTCACTGAAAAACCTAATGCTCCAGCAGAAAGGAAAATTTTCGTCCGAACTCTGACCAGAAAGAAAGAGGATATCATAAATCGCATAACTAAATGGTATGCCCATGTTCGTCAGAAAATAGATATATTCTTTGTTTTCACTCACTAGTGGTACTAATGTCAGTCTCACAGTTCTGAGAATATGAATGAGTTCCATTTATGCATTTTCCCACAAAGTATGCAGTATGACTCCTCTGAAGTTTTCCTATTGTGACCTGTAGGGGCAATCCAATTCCCAACATTCTGATGGAGAAAGTTAATGAATATATCCCCGATGATTTTGAAAAGTGGTTCAATATCTATGAGGTCTTACCTAATCTATTATATTTTACTGTAAAGTATCATATTTTTTGTTATATTTGTTTTGTAACTTCCATCAGTTCTCCTTCTATATGTTTTAGGATGAAAACGGCCCACCAAAAGTTTGTAAACCTTTCTCCTGGATACACACAGATGTAATGGATGACAATATTCACATGGAATCATGTCGGGTTAGTTCTTGCTCAACAGGGAATACCCTAGATGCTGGCCTGATGGACAATGGTTTTGTGAATGGTCATAATCGCAGTGAAAGTGAAAATTCATGGCATCCTAGCCACATCCTTGATTTCAGTGATCTGTCTTTTGGTAAGTGCTTTTAATTGATTTAGTTAGTTTTTCATGTATAGGTATGTTCTTAATTGAGTTGGAATTGGTCTGACCCCTATTATTTATTGAAATAAAAGCTTGGAGTAAGTGGCGGTCTGATAGCATGGTATGTCAGGATCATTGTTATTGTTCCTGAAGTTAGATTGACACTATTGGATTGATTATGGGATAAAATGTCTTCCCAGACCAAACGTTCTGATGGATTTGTAACATTATTTTGGAAACTTTTTAAGGGTTTAACAAAAACAACACAGTGAAATGGAAGATAAGAAAGAGAGTAAAAGATGTAAGAAGGTGAATACATGAACGAACTGCTGTTACAACTTCATCATTGTACTCTACTTCTGGAATTAACCTCTTTCCTTGGCATAAAGACTGCTGCCCGTATTTTTGCTCAACTATTTTTCATTTTAGATGTTTTTGCAACATTATTTTGGTCAATTGGCACAGATGCTGCAGAAGTATTGTAAATTCTCCATGTTTGTCAAAATCCGAGTTGATGCAACTGTCTTCCATGCTCCCTTTGATGAAGAGCCTTATAATTTTCTAGTTCCATCTCTTCCTTGTATTATAATCACTTCAGTCATCCTAAGAATAAGTTTTCTTTTGTTGATTTAGAAATTAGTGTTCTAAACTGGTTTCATATAAAATTTTGGCTAATTTGCGATTTCATGTTGTTATTGTTTTAACCAATTGTGACATTTATATGCAGCTACTGGATGCTGTTTTTGTTCAGTGCGATTTATATGCTTTTGTATGTTTTGTATGATATACTTAGTGATAAGTGTGTAAAATTGTTAATTTTTTAATGACACAATAGTATTTTTGGGCCTTCGGTTTCCAAAGGTTCCTTTCTGATTCTTACCTGGCATGTTTATTGCTTGTGAGAATGTCATGTACTAATGCTGAGGGTTTAAAGTTTTGGCTGTGATTTTTTTTTGCAGTGCCTTTTGTAACAAATGACCAGATTTTAAACTACGTGGCAACTGAAGTAGTCAATCTATGTCAACCAACACAAATAAATAGAATTATAGAACACAAAAGCACTACAATATCATGTTCTAGTAGAAGTTTTTCTTAGAACCTCATCTCCATCACCTTGTACTGAACTTTGTTTCTTTTGCAGGAGATCCCATTTGTGATCTGATTCCTATACATCTGGATGTCTTTAGAGGAGATTCTCGCCTTCTGATGCAGTTTCTAGAAAGCTATAAACTTCCATTGGTGAGAATATCACAGCATGAATCAATAAAAAGTTGCAGTAAGTTTGGACGACTCTCATACCGAGCCATGTGAGTTTAACCTCTTTATACGCTTATATGCTGTGTTTTCTGAACCTAGTTCTTCAGAATATTGTTACTTGACTTGTTCTGGAGATCATTTAAAACTTGGCAATCTTAGCTTACTGTATCCACTGAAATAATCATGATAAATGAGACATTTGGTTTACTGTCTCCATTTTAATCAGATGCTCTTAACGTTCTAAAGTTCTATGAACATTTGGCACACCAAATAAGTTTCTTCTATGTCCTCAAATGAAGCTATTCTGAGTTCCTTTAAATTAGGTTCACAATGACCATCTCAATTTATTTGTTCCTGGTTGATGTTTGCTTTGAGACTGGGGGTACCTCAGAAGCATTTTTCTTGGCTACAAAGTTGATGTGCCTCCACCCTGTTGGGATGTTATGTGGTTTGGAGGATGCAATAATGGTGCGCTTGTTCCGTTGTGATCCTTGTGTAGGTGTTGTAAATGTCCTACATATGGGCAGTATGGCAGAAGGATTACTAAGTTATTCATACAACTGCTTTCTTTGCTAAATGAGTTATTAATCCAACTGCTGGTATCCATTACACGGGTAGTGTCATGTCACATTAAATCAAATTATTTTATTTTGGTGCATGAAATTTGTTGTAGCAGAAGTTTTCTAATATTTCAAGTGTGCTGTTTTATAGCTCTGAATAAGCTTGCCCATCCTTGTTATGAATGCAGTTTTGAGCATTCTCATCTGAATGATCAAAGCTGAAAGAAACTCGTCATTTATTTCCAAATTACACTATCATAATTTCAATCTGCATGTTGCGGTTAGTGTTTAAGTTGATATTACTTTGTTAAAATTCACTTGAACGATTTGATTTTTATACAGGTGCTATTGTATTTTACATGACGACAATGTCTTGGGATCCATTTTAAGTCTATGGAAAGAAGTTAAGAAGGTGAGTTCATGGGAGGAAGTTGAGGAAATAGTGTGGGGAGATTTGAATAATTACAAAGTTTTTTGCTGATTAGTCCCGTCATTTCGTTTTACTCCTTGGGAGCATCGGCCATGGATTTGCAAGCCTGTGCTGCACATATAACATGTTTTATTATACTTCAAAAGCATTTTGCAGATAGATCATTGACATTATTTAGCAGCTAACTATATAGTTGCAGGACTTTTGACAATAATTAGCAAGTCCATCCTTGTATAATTGTCGAGTTCTGTTTGTTCTATGTTTCTTTCAGTGAGGATGTAATAAGGACGCTATGAATGCGTACTGTTTGAGGGTTGTATCATTGTTACAATTGTAAAATAATTTATCATTCTTGTGATTTTTCTATGAATCTGGAATTGCTAGATTTATTTATTTATTTTCGGTAATTAGGATTGTTGGAATTATTGGTTATTATGAGCCTTGCATAATCCACATTATAATACAATTGATAGTTGTAATATAACAAAAATGCTTGAAAAATTGAGATGAAACTGAAACCCTCACTTCTTGGGTTGCCAGGTTTGGGTAACATTCCCGATTATGACACAGCGAAAAATACTTTAATGCTCATGAAATACTGACATAATATAAGCATGGGATTCAACATTGTCTATTTGTCTTGCAGCCCAACAAACAGATGAGAAAATTAAATTTTAGGTGACAACAATAATTGACTTGAGTGTGACAGTGTATTTTAATCTTTGTCCTGTGTTTTTCTGTGTGGCATGACCATATTACTTCGTTGTCTTTCTATTTGTGATAATATCTTAGAAGACATATATGCAAATCTTTACATTCCTGTTTGACCTAGTAATTCCATGATAAATAAACAAGCACTTCATTTTCATTCTCACCCACTTGATCACCGAGAGTGCACAAAGCAAGGAGGCAACAATGGGCCGAACCAGCAAGCCTGTTAAGGCACTGCTTGTACTCTTGAACTGTCTATTGATATCAATTGGTCAAGTAGCTGGCCTTTTGCTTGTAAGGCTCTACTATTTGCATGGAGGAAAGAGGAGATGGCTCAGTGCTTGGATACTTAGTGCTGGCTTCCCAATCTTGATCTTCCCCATTGCCATTTCTTATGCACAAGCTCGAGCCACGACACCAGCCACCACGCTGCTGGTCACACCGAGGCTTGCTGCAGCTGGTGCCTTGTTGGGAATTCTCCTCGGCCTTGATGGCTACCTCTACACCTTTGGTTTGTCTTACCTTCCCATCTCGGTTTCTTCTCTTCTTGGATCAACTCAGCTCGCCTTCACAGCCATTTTCGCGTTTTTCATTGTGAAGCAAAAGTTCACTCACTACTCGGTCAATGCTGTGGTTTTGATGACCTTTGGATCAGTTGTTCTGGGGCTTCACATGAACGGAGATCGTCCTAGTGGAGTGTCTAATGGAAAATATTTGTTGGGGTTTTTCATGACGATTGCTGCTGCTGGTCTCCATGGATTCATTATGCCTGCAGTGGAGTATACTCACTTGAAGGCTGGCGTCGCCATCACCTTTAATTTGGTCATGCAGTTTCAATTCATCGTGTCGATGTTTGCCACTCTGTTTTGCACTGTTCCCATGATCATCAACAAGGATTTCCAGGCAAGTGAAATGGTTAAGAAGTGCAACTTCTCCTGAATTGCACAGAACCTCTAATAAGCCATTGTGCAAGCATGTTAAGAAGTGAAATTAGACATAATTTCTATAAATTAACTATATATATTTGTAGTCTTTTCTCATAATTTGTACAAGCTTCTCTTACAAATCACTTAAAAGATAGTTATGGTGAAAGGATTTGTAACTCTGGCCACTACAAACTACCACTTCAAATGGTTATTTTTTATTCTGCACCAGGGTTAAATCATAATTCTTATGCCACTTTGTCTAACTTTCTGTTTTCTACTCGAGATAGAAAAAGTGACCAAGCTTCTTCTCTGCCCTTCTTGTACTTGTTGTGCCATGAAATTGAATTGAGTATTGCTACAAAAACTGATCGATTTTTTTTTGTTACTCCAATCAATAGAGTCTAACAAGGGGATTCTTGCCAGCTTTTAAAAACAATAGAACCTCTTTTCTAAGTACTTATTCTAACCATTAATTTTCACATCAGGTTTGTCGCATAACCGATATAATAAAGTCGTAAATTATATCATTTTTCAATTGAATTATATCTATGATTTTATTTTTTATTTTTTGGGTTGATGCTTTGGATGTGATTACACAAGCTGTATCTGCCCAAGAAACAAATGCATTGTGGCAAATAACAAAGTTGACTTGGAGTTGCTTTGCCAAAATTAACATAACACATATCAAACACTGTTTATTTCAAGAATTATTATACGTTCACAGATTGTAGGGATTTTACAGCAAATATAAGAGAGTTGAGAATGAATAAATATGAAGCGTTACAAGTTACGACATAACAAGTGCGAATAGACCAAAATACCCCTAAAAAAGGCTTACAATATTTATAGGCTCAACACTTCCCATCAGCATCCTATTTGGCATTTCTAGTTCTACTTGCTTACGAAATATATTGGAGGAACTCATGTACATATATGATTTCTTTCTAACTTCCAAACACCTAGTGTGATTTGTGTAGGCTATTCCAGAAGAGGCAAGAGAATATGATCTTGGAGAGAGCAAGTACTACATGGTACTAGTGTTGGCAGCAGTTGCAATGCAATTCTTGATTATAGGAAGTCTTGGTGTGATCTTCTGCTCAACATCACTCTTGGGAGGGCTCGTGTCATCTCTTCTACTTCCGGTCCAACAGATATTCGCCGTAATGTTCTTACCGGAAAGCTTCAATGCAGACAAGGGCATTGCCTTAGCCATGTGCCTGTGGGGTTTCTCCTCTGACTTTTATGGAGAATACAAGGTAAGCCGGAGGAAGCCAGCAACAAAACTAGAACCAGAGCAAGAGGAGGTAGTTTGAGTTTACCAAGTTTTATGTAGAGATGAGTAATGCTATTTAAACTTATTTTTCAAGCTTAGGAGTGTAAACTTACTTGTTCAAGCTTGTGGTTAACTTCCTCTCGCAATCTACAGTGGCTAACCACAAGACAATGCAGTCCCAAACCATACTCAGGGGCGGAGGGAAGGGATAAAATAATATAGTACATATAGTATAAAATTTATACTTGCCCCCTAAGGAAAAAAAATTATTTCTTTAATTAGAATTTAACAAAAGATAGTTTATATAGTGGTTTAATTAACGACTATAGAATCCCGATAAAAATTAATTCACATAAAAATTTAATGTGGCTATCTTAAAATTTCAACTCAAATACCGTTTTTTCCTTAATGTGACTACAAGCACGATTCTTTCCATAACCTTATTATTCTAAAATTTCATCTCATACATGATTCTTTCCATCACACTTTTTTTTTTTTATTTTTTTTATTTTTTATTTTTTTATTGAAATGCTTTTATAAGAATTCTATAAGAAATTAATTTTTAAAAAATCAAGAACAAAAATTTCATTTGAAGTTTTGAATATCAACAAAAATCGATGATTTAAGAATCTAAATTTTTATTTTATTAATTTGTTTGTGTTTTTATTTATTTATTTTTTTTATCATTGTTATTATTTTGTTAAATTTTCAATTGTTACATTTTTTTTAAAGTTATTTTTATTTTTATTTTTTCCTTTTCGGTAAATAAATAGAGTTATTTAATTGAATTTTTTTTTTTTATAATTTTGGCATAAATTTTATTTGTGTTTGTTCAGAACGTTTGATAAAAAATTTCTTTAAATAACTAGTTTTTTTTTTTATTTAAATAAATTGAAAAAAGTTTAAATAGATATATTTTTGTATGAATATAATAAATAGTAAAATATATTTGCCTACGTAATATATATATATTTTTCCAAAGTTCTAGCTAGGTAATGTTGTTTATAATTTTGGCCCACCCAACCTCAAAATCCTGGCTCCGCCCCTGACCATACTGGCCCTCATACTCTGTCCCCCGATTACATATTTATCAGATCCCATCGAGAGACGGTTTCTATTTAAATTATTATTATTATTGTGTTTCATACTCGTTCAAACAAAAAAGATTCTCGTACCCGTCCCATTGCAAAAATATGATAGTCCAAGGTAGTTTATGCAATTTGCTCTTTCATAAATTTCTATTAAAGGGCATTTTCGTAATTATAATATTACTTTAGGAGTTTGGTCTCAAAGTTGCAACAATTGGATGGACAAATCCATTCCAAAAAACTATTTTAAAGGGCATTTTCATAATTATAATATTCCTTAGGGTAAAGTGTAAAAAATCCTATTGAACTATTGCCCTTTTGTAAATAGTCTTCCTAAACTAAAAACTGTCCCCCTAAACTATTATTTTATTACAATTAAGGACAAACCCATTACAAAAGACTATTTTACCCTTTCTTATTAAATTTGTCATTTCCTATTAAATTATTTTTTATTATCTTTAATAAAATATAGTTTAGGCATTGGGCCATCTTGCAACAAAATGTGATAGTTCAGGGGACATTGTGCAAAAAATATAATTCAGAGGGGGTATTTAAAAATTTAAACATAGTTCAGGGGTTTTTTTTTTTTGCACTTTACTCTAAAATCTATAATGACAAATACTTTAAATGTGTAAAGTACATCCACGTAGCACTTTCACCATCTATTTTAAAAAGTGTGCTATTAACCCCTTTATTCTTTAAAAATTGAGCAAAAATATATCTCAAATTACTTTTTGCAAATATATGCAATAAAGTAATATTGTATTATCCGTTTTGTCCTTTTACTCTTCTAAAAATGCCCCAAGGGGGTATATATGCTAATAATATCATAATAGACAGGTGTTATGTGAAAATTAAATATATTTAACCCACTTTTAGATATTTTCTCTCACATTTCAATAATAATAAATAATTTCTCTCTCTCTCTCTATATATATATTCGCTAACAGGTTTATTATTGCTATGTATTATCTCGATTTCTATGAGTTGAAAATTTTACATTTCGTAGGACTTATTGTACGTCGAGTATATCATATGAAATGGAAACCTCAAAATTTTTTTTTTTTATTTTATTTTTTATAATTATAGAAAAGAAAAAATTATTCTCAATTAAAATTTAATATAGTTATCATGTTATATTAAATATATAATAAAAAAATTAAATTAAAGATGCTTATTCATTATATATATATATATATATATACATAGAAACGAATAGGGTACTCAAATTCAAAACAACAATAATTTGTAAGGTAAAATATCGATATAATATGTTTATAGTGTGTACTACACCCTTATGTGCTAAATGTCGTCATTTTGCTTTGTATCTATTTTCGTCATTTCATAAAATATTTATTTTAAAATAATATGTAATATATATATAATTTAGGCAAACTTTATCTTAAATGTGTCATGTAGAACATATTTGCACGAGGTTTCTTTAACCTATAATACACAGTGAATGTAATAAAATTTGTTATTCCATTCCTCTTGAGATATTTTATTACATATATATAGGTTAAAGAAATGGATAACAAATTTTATTACATTCACTGTGTATTATAGGTTAAAGAAACCTCGTGCAAATATGGCAAACTTTATCTTAAATGTGTCATGTAGAACATATTTGCACGAGGTTTCTTTAACCTATAATACACAGTGAATGTAATAAAATTTGTTATTCCATTCCTCTTGAGATATTTTTGAGCCTTGTCATCCAACTTCGATAGCTAAATTTTTAATTTAAACTCAAACCACTTCATTTCAATTACATTGAATTATTCTTGAATGTTTATGAATTGGCTTTAAAACAAAGGCCACATGATTTGACTAAAAAGTTTATGGAATATAATATTTGATTTTTTTTCACGAATATAATATTTGATCAAAGACGTATAACTGCATAAGATGGGAAAATTTTAAAAAGCCATGTAGAAAGGAGAAGTAAAGGCAAGGTAGGTACGAATGCACAAAAATCACCTGTTTTTTTTTTTTGGGGCACTTTATGCAAAGTTGAAGAAGACTTACAAGGTGCGAGTATGGCTTAGCTAAAAATTTTCTTATGTGGGGCAATCTTTAAAGCAATAATATATATATATATATATATATAATTTGAACCAAAACAAAATATATAAAAATTAAAACATTAATTCATAATATTTTTATTTAGCACATTCACAACCATTTTTCAGATTATTCATTATTGTTTCAAAATTGAGTTCATTCAATTAAATATATTAATAAAAAAAAAATCATATTCAATGAATCAAAAATAAGATATAAAAAAGAAAATAATACACTTACCTAACTGTTCTAATATATCACATATGTGAAAAAAATAAAAACACAAACTAAAATTTAAAGAACAACAAACCCTAAAATAATTTTGATAGTAATAACTAATAATTGTTCTAATTAAAATTACAATATCAAATAATAATAAATTTAGACGATAAAAAAAAAAATATATCAGATTACCTGTCTACCGCACTGTAGTATGACTGACTGAGTCTCTGTCTACTGATAAATGGTTGCTTCGCTTGCTTTGTTTGGATTGTGAAAATGTTGAAGATGAAGAAGTGATGAAAGTAATCCATTTATTTGTGGTATGGTAGAATATCTTGATGAAATGTTTTTATTTATTTATTTATATATTTATTTAAGAAAGTGGTAAATTATATAATATTTTGGGAAAGTGGAAAACAATATCATATTCTCTGGGAAAATATAAATTAATAGATATATTATATATATTTACAATTGTGACACTATTATATTCCTCCCATGAATGGGTTTTTGGTTATATATATATATATATATATATATATATATATATATATATAGTATATATGTATACATTGTCAAATTTTAGAGGGGACAACAATACAAATATAAAACTCTTTCCATATAAAATTTTAAAAAATTAAAAATTTAGTGGGGGCAGTTGCCCCCACTTGTCCCTCTTTGCCTTTGGCTATGTCACTGTCTCAAACAATAGTGATAGAAAGGTTATAGAAAACTAATATTAGATTACAAGTTTACGCACTCGTGCATTTATGCGGTTATTATGTATACTTGCACCTATTTCATCATCACTCACCTATATATATATATATATATATAGTAGGTCTATTCAGTTACTCTATGGTGTGCAGGGAGCAATATACGCGACTTCTATTTTAGTCGTTGTATTTTATCCAACGACTAAAATTGAAAACAATTATATTGTTTATGATTTTTTAAGACTCCAAAATATTAAGTGTTTTAAATAAAATAAAACTCCTTAAAATAAAAAGGTATTAATAATGAAAAAAATAATTAAATACTTCCACTAATATCGCTTGGATATAGAAGAGTGAGAGTAGTGGAGTCCTTCTATTACGGAAAAAAATCTTGCTTTGTACAAATTTTTTGATAGAAAAATTACAATTTTTTTTTTTGCTAACTCTTTTCTCTATATTCATGTTTTGGTGAAAAAGTTTCTCTTCAAACTATGCAAGTTTTGTTATTGCGAATTCAAGTAATTTCTCGCATAGGTTAGTATCTCTATTATCTTTATCAATTTATCACAGTTGCCATCGAGGATAGCACATTAGCTCTATCCCGAGTGACGGTCAACTTTCAAACTCATACTACCCACACACCGCCAAGAAGTTCAACTATCTCTAGTGGGACGGACAACATAACCACCTCCGCTAGGGAAGACACAGTGTTGAATTTTCATGAATCCGTCACCTTGTGCACCCGCGCACCTCAAGTGGTAATCCCACCCCTCCATGGGCTTCCGTACACCCCAACGAGTCGAATCTTCGCAAGTTCATCATCGCGCCGCCATGTGCCATCAGTAGTAATCACGCGCGTGCCATTAGTAGTAATCACGCGCTATGATCTTCAAAACTCTATCATCGCGCTGCCACGCGCCACTAGTGGTAATCACACACTTACCAAAACG